AGGGGATCCCAAAGACACCCTATGGAGAACCCCCAAAGTGCATGCACTGCTGGGGGGACACCCCAAAGCCATCCTGGGTGGGACACTCAAAGAAAGGCGATATGAAAGCCACCCTGGAGGGAACCCCCAAAGTAAAGAGGAACCTAAAACCACCCTGGAGGGAACCCCCAAAGTATATGCACTGCTGGGGGGACACCAGGCCATTCTGGCCAAGCCCCCCAAGCAAGGGAAACACTCCAAAGACAGCCGGTGGATGGCGTCCCCAACAGGGACGTGTTGAGGGGACACCCCGCAGCACTCCTGGGGCAGAGGGGGGTCCCTCCCGGGGATGACCCCCCCATCCCAAACCCCTCCCTGCCCCCGCGGGGGGCACTCACATGTCCTTGACGGGCAGGTTCCTGCCCTCCACGATGCGGATGGAGAGGGCGCTGCGCCGGGCCATGGCGGGCGGGCAGCGGAGCCAGACCGAGCCGAGGCGACCCGAGCGGAGCCCAAACGGCGCCGAGCGCGGCCTCGAACCTGCGGCTCCCGGCACAGCGCCCATGTGCGGGCCGGCGCCGCCGCCCGCCAATCAGCGTGCGGAGGCGGGGCGAGAGGCGTGGCCCGAAAACCCGTCCGCGGCGACCATTGGGCGGTTCTATCGGCTGTCAGCCAGGGGGCGTGGCCTAGGGGCGGTGGGCGGGGCCGGGTCCTCCCGCCCTGCCGGGGGTGCCGGGGGGTTTCCCGGCTCGGTGTTCCCGGTGCCGCCTGGTTCGTCCCGGTCCCGCTCGGTCTCCCCTCGTCCCGCTCGGCCCCCCCGGCACCGGCCGCGGCTTCTGGGTTGGACCAGACCCACACTCGCCCCCCCCAAACCCGGGGGGCTGCAGTGTGCTCCGCGCTGCCCTGCACCCCAAACCCCCGACGTTTTCTTGCTCTTTTACCTTTTTTACCCTATTTTTGCAGCACTGCCGAGATACCGGTGGCATTTCTGTGGGGTCTTGGTGCCCTAAATACCGGCGAAGGGAGGGGGAACTTCCCCCCCCCACCCGCAAGACCCACCTGGGCTCGAGGAGTCGCCCCGCACCCAAAGCTGGGGCTCAGGGCTGTGCCAGCCAAGCTGGTCCTTGGCATTTGCGCCGTGGGGACACTACGGGGACACTCTGGGAACACGCCGGGAACGCGCTGCCCTGTTCCTACAGCGCTGCCCCTATCCCTCCCCCGCACAGGGGGACAGCAGGAGGACAAGGTGCGGTCCCCTGCCACCGACCCGAGTGGCAGCTCCAGCCCCGCACGCAGTCGGGGCCACGTGTCCCACCCCCACAGCGCCCGTGTGACAGGTGACATCCCCCCTCCCAAGCCACTCGAAGCCGCTTTGCAGCTGAAACAGTTGTTTTATTTCGGGGGACGTGGTGTGGGTCGGAGGGGACCCGCGTTTGCCGGATGGAACCGTCCTTCGGCTGCACCCACGCTGGTTCTCCGCAGGAGTTAATCGCTGGATTTGCTTGATTTCCCTTGGCTGGGCTCCACGGGGGCGGCTCCGGCAGCGGGGGGGGCAGGTTGCTTACACCCCTCCCAGGCAGGACAAGGACAGCCTGTAAGGGCGCTGTGACCGGGGCTGGGTGTGAATGTGATGCTGCCCTTTGCACGGCGCCTACGGAGAAAAACGGTGGGTTTAACATACGGATGTGATGTATGCAGGTGTGTGCACACCTGCCCTGGCTCCACGCAAAGGGCACAGCCACCCTGCGGCGAGCTCTGTCCTGCTTGTCCCCAGCACCAGCGGGGTCTCATCCAGACCAGGCTCCAGGATCAGGGCACCCACATCCCCCACATCAGTATCAGGGGCCCACATCCTGGTGCAGGATCAGGAGTGATGGATCAGGTCCCTCCCAGTCCCTGGTAGAGCATCAGCTTCCCCGAGCTCACTCCCCACCAGTGCAGGATCAGCCCCCACATCCCCTAGAGAGAGATCAGGGATTCACTCCCCAGTGCAGGATCAGTCCCCATAACACCTGGAGCAGGAACAGGCATCCCAGGGTACCAGTCTCATGGCTCTCAGGGGAACATCAAGAGCACTTGGGAAGGATTGGGCCAGCTCTGGGTGGGGGAGACTCTCCTCTGGGTTTGGGTCAGCGAGAAATTGCTGTGGGGTTAAGGGGAAGAGAGAAACACCCCCTATTCCCCCCCCGTAGGACATTCCAGTGCCCCTCACCCCAGTGTCAGGGCTGGGGGGGCCTCCCCTCGCTGCCCTGTGCCCCAGGGGACTTTCACCCATTCAGAGTGGACACAGGTGGCACCGGTGCCCCATTCAGAGTGGACACAGGTGGCACCGGTGCCCCAACTGGGTGTGACAACACATCTCCCACTCCAGAGCATTGCGGGCCACATCCTTCCCCCCACCCAGGGACAGGGCTCAGAGCCCTGCATGGGGGTACAGGAACAGGGACACGGGGCTTTCCATGGGGCTGCGTGAGGCGCTGAGGTTTTGGCAGGTGCCATTCCCAGGAGGGTCACAAACAGGAGGCAGAGGCCGGGCACAAAGTACGCGGAAAAGCCTTTAATGTCCCTCTCCAGTGCCCCAGCCCCGGCGGGCAGCTCTGGCCGTGCCCGCGTGGCCGTGGGCTCATGCCGTGGGGGCACCCGGGGGTGCGTGGGGAGGCGGGGCGGTGCCGGGGGGCGGCGGGGGCTCAGAGCCGGGCGGCCGGCTGGTCGTAGACGTGGTGGGTGTTGTACCGCCGCACCGACACCGCCTCCGGCTTGCTGAAGGTGCTGCTGCCGCCGCAGGTGTCTGAGCTGGGGAGGGAAGCGGGGGGGTGAGGGATGAGGGTGGGGACCACAGGATGACGGCATCACCCTCTGGCGCCGATCCTGCGTGCCCAGCACCTATCTCTGGGTTCCTGGGTGGGACGTGGTGGTGGCACTCACCCCCAGAAGACGAGCATGGCCACCAGCCCGGCCAGGAGGATGGCGAAGAGGATGGAGAGGATGGTGGTGAGGGCGATCATGCCGGCGCTGTGCCCTCCGTCCGTCGTGGAGATGCTGTCGGGTGACTTGGCTGGGTAGAGAGCAGGAGGGGAGGGAGCAGGATGCAGGGATGCACAGGGCAGGATGCATCCTGCCCAGGGCAGCTCGGGGTGGGGGCACATGGGTGACGGTGTGTCCGTGCGTGCCAACACAATGTGCCATCACACAGTGCCACCGTACCCAAGTGAGACTCACACCACAGCCCTGCCTCAGTTTCCCCATCTCACAGGGGCCCTCGCCCCAAACCACTGCTCAGGATTCAGCTCCCTGGGACCACCCCACACCCCCCAGGACCACCCCATATCCCCCACCTGACAGCTGCGGGGTGAGCCCCCCCAGCAGCAATACCTGTCCTCAGCATGATGGGCTGTGACCAGCGTGTCTCGGCCACGGGCTCGGAGCCCTCCAGGGCAAGGAACTTCACCCTGAGATGGGAAGGGAGGTTAGCCACGGTCCCGTGAGCCTGGGGGGCTGCCGGGAGCCCCTGAGGGGGGCACGTCCCCAGGAGCAAACTCACAGGTAGGGCCCGGGGCCGGGCAGGGGGCCATTGCAGGTGGGTCTCGCATCATCCCGGATGCAGCTGGTCTCGCTGCCAACGCGCAGCACCGTGATATCCCCGGGGGGTTTGGAGCAGGGGTAGTTGGCGAGGGTGGCATTGAGGGTCATGTAGGCAGGGATGTCAGGGAAGTTCTGGAAGGCGCTCTCGGCAGTCCCTGGCGCAATGCTGTTGTTGAAGGTGGCTGCCTCTGCAGGGATGGGGATGGAGGGTGAGGAGGGAGCCGGGGGACACAGGGCCCTGCCCTGGGCCGCCCCCACCTACTGCTTTCCAGAGCCACCACCAGCCAGATGTCGGCGTTGCTGTACTTGTCGAAGACGCAGCGGGGCTGATCCAGCACGAAGGTGGAGCCGGTCGTCAGCCCCTCCAGCACGGGAGTCTTGGTCAGGGACGGCGTGTACTTCAAAAGCTCCACTGTGGGGAGAAGCCAAGGGGGTGCGGCAGAGGGTGCAGAGCTCCCGCTGCAGCCCCTGACCGGTGGCTCCGCCCGGCTGCCGTGGTCCCAGAGGTTCGGGGTGGGGACAGGAGGGAGCTGAACGCTGTGATCTCAGCAGAGAGGCCCCTGCTTGCTTCCCACCCCCCGTTTTGGTCTCAGACGCGTGTTTTGTGAAAAGAGGAATAAAAGACACCCCATGCTCCCACTCGGCGTGGGGGGAGACACCTCTGTGGGATCCCCAGAGGACCCAGGTCGTTGACACCAGGGGCACTGAGGGTGGCACCCAGAATAGGGGGAGCATCAGCTGCCCTACCCCTCCAGGCTCAGGGGCATCCTGGTGTCTGTGCACAGTGGACTCCTGCAATGCAAAGGGGGACCCCCAAAGGACCCCACACTGTGTCAGCCAACTCAGGTCAGTGACACCAGGGACACTAGAGGTGGCACCCAGAATAGGACCCAGAATAAGGAGGGCATCAGCTGCCCTACACCTCCAGGCTCTGGGGTCTTGTGGTTCACAGAGGATCCCTGCAATGCCGAGGGGGATCCCCAGCCCATCCCGATGGCACCGTCGGACTCACCTGCACCGTGGGCTGCGGGCAGGAGCAGGAGGAGCAGCGGGAGCAGCGGGAGCATGGTGCGGACGCCTGGGTGCCGAGGGCGGGAGTGCGGGTAGTTGAGCTCCGCGTCCCCGTGGGACCCGCCTGTGGTCACACCAACCGCCCACATTCCTGCACGGGCCGCAGCCCCGCGGCAAACAGGTTGGGCTCGTTTCCCCGGGAGCATTTGTTATGTTTGAGCGCCCGCCGGCGAGGCGTGTTGGGAACCGCCACGCTTGTGGCACGGGTGGGTGACAGCCCTCACCCGGGCAGTGGGGCAGAGAGGGACACCCCGGGGGGATGTGCCCCACAGACCCCATGGGTGCCAGCCTGTGCCCCCCACCCTGACACCAAGTGCCACCAAACTGAGACCCTGGGTTGTTCTGGAGGGAATTGGGTGCCCTCACTCTCACAGCTCCCACCCTGCATGACCAAGGACCAGGAGGAGGCAGTCACAGATGTAGTCAGACTTTACTTGGCAGGACACTTTACTTCTAGTGGAAGGTGTCCCTGCCCACGGCAGCAGGGTTGAAATGAGATGGTTTTTAAGGTCTCTTCCAACACAAACTGTTCCATGTTTCTATGGCAAGGAGCAGGGGGTCGGAGGGCAAAACAGCCCAGCCCTGGGGGGCTACACCCACACCCTGGGGGTGGGGGCTGTGGCAGGGCCGGGGGGATGTGATGGGTCCGGTAGGATCTGCGGGCGAAGGCGCCGGTCCCCAAATCCCGCTGGCACAGGGAGCCCCACACCTTGGCACTGCAGAGAGAGAAATGCAGAGGCATCAAGCAGAGTTCATGGGTCCTGCCAGCCCCTCCGTGCTGACCATCCCCCAGGGGCACTTTCTCCTGCAAACTGTGGCAAACCTCCAATTTAAGAATAAAAAGGCTTTTTAAATCTTAAAACTGTCCATTTCTTTGCTGATGGGGCCGAGTTGGGGGGTGTTCTCCTGGGGCCCCTGCAGACACATCCCCCCGAGCAGCTCCCGTACCCCAGGGCTCCGAGCACAGCAGTGGCCAGCACTGTCCCCAGGCTGGCCAGGAGGGAGGCGATGACCACCACGTCACTGCCACGGCATGTGGGCACGGGGTCGATGATGCTCGGGCTGAGGGCTGGAAAGAGGCCGAATGAGGGATATGGGGAGACACAGAGGGCAATGGAATGGAGCATATGGAGGGCATCAGGGATCACTGCTCCCCCCTCTGGATTTTGGGGTGATGGCATAGGGCTTGTGCTGTGCCGCATGCCAGCATCCCAACAGGGCAGGTGGGGGACCCACGGGGGGATGGCAGTGCCACCAGAGAAGTGTGGGGACCCATGGGGGGATGGCAGTGCCACCGGTACCTCTGCGCAGGAGGATGGGGTCGGACCAGCGCGTCTCCGCTTTGGGGCCGTGGCAGCCCATCAGCAGGAACTTCACCCTGCGATGGGTACGGGAGTGATACCGGGGGGGGGCGAGCACGCCCTGGGTGGGGAGTTACCCGAGCTGGGGTTCGGGAGTTCTGGCCTTACCTGTAGGGCCCTGGGGAGGGCAAGGGCCCGTTGCAGGGGTCCTGCCTGCCCTGGTCCTTGCACGCCGTGTCACCCCCGACCCGCAGCACGGCCGGGCTCGGGGCTGGGCAGGCGTACGCGGCCGCCGCCGTCTCCAGAGTCATGTAGGAGTGGGTGGTGGGCAGCTGCTTGTACGGGGGCACGTCAGCCCGGGATGGGGGGTTCCTGAAGGTGGCTGACGCTGCACGGCACAGATGGAGGGCGGGCGGCTGTGGTGAGGGTCCCCCACGCCCCTGCCACGGGAAGATGTGTCGGGGCAGCGGGTGCTCACCGTTGGCAAAAGCCACCGCCAGCCAAACAGTGTCCGAGGCGTTGGCGTGCCGGTCGAAGATGCGGCAGGGTCTCTCCAGTGCGAAGGTGGTGGCAGTGACCTTCCCCAGCAGTGCCACGGGGGACACGCGGGGCACGTAGGGCAGCCGGGCTGGGGGAGCGGACGGTGAGCGAGGGATCCCCTGCTCTGCTCCGCCCAGCAAGTGACTGACCCCGGCCTCCACCCGTGAGAGGGCCCACGAGTGCCGGTGTTGGCACAGGGGGAGCTCACGGGGTGCCAGCAGTGTCAGCAGCAGGGTGACAGCACTGGTGTGGGGACCCCCCAGCCATGCCCAGCCCCATAACCCCCTCCCTGGGTCTCCAGACCCCCGTCCCCCTCTGCCCTGTCCCCCAGGGAGTCACCCAGGCCCGCGGCTGTGCCCGTCCCAGCCAGCACCAGCAGCACCCACGGCAGCTCCATGGCGTCCTCCGCTGGGGCTGGACGTGCCTTCTCTGCTCCGCTCACCCCGTCCCACTGCCGAGGGGACGAACTGCCCCCAGTGCCCCCGCAGCGGGGACCGCCCGTCCCGAGGAGCCGGACCCTCCCAGCCCCACATTCCTGCACCGGCTCTGCCGGCCCGGCAGGACCCCGCGGGCAGGGGGGAACAACTGAGCCACCGGAGTCACCCCTCCGTCCTGCAGGACCTCGAAGGCTGCGAGGAACCAGGGCACAAGCCTGTGATGTGAAAGGGGAAACTGAGGCACGGAGGAGGCCCCGGAGCCTCCAGGATGGGTTGGAGGGAGTCACAGTCTGTGTTGGTGCTATGGGGACAGCTGGGCAAGAGGTCCCGCACCCCCTCTCACCCCACCTAGACCCAACTCCCTGCGGGTTCCCCGTGCTCACCGGGAGCCAAGGGTGAGCCCGTGCCCGACTGGTTCGGGTGCAGCCAGCCCTGCCCCGCGGGCAGGGAAGCGCTCCAGAGCATCACACCCGAACCCACCCAAACCCCAGCGATCAGGCGAACGGTCCCACCCAGCACCGGGGGCACGGAAGCACCAAGCACTGGGGCCACCCCACGCTGGCATTTCCCATCCATCCTTCCCCCTTCCTAGGGAAGGACTCCCCAAGCCCTCTGGATGGGGCCAGGGACAGCGCCCTGGAGCGGAAGCTGCCCCGCGGCTCGGGAGCCCCCCACCGCCACTCCCAACGGAAAGGGGTTGGAGTGCTCCTTCTCCCGTGTTTGCCAAGGGCAGCGGCCGCCCACTCCTGCGTGGGAGGGGATTTCCTCCCCCTTCCCAAGGGGCCGGGACAACGCCTTCAGATTAAGTGGAAATGGGGCATTCAAAGATTACACCGTCCAGCTGCAGAGGGGAAAAACAGGCGCAGCTGCAGCCTCCATCCCTCCTCCCTCTGATCCCTGACTTACTCCCCGCTCCGACCCAGCAATACCTACCCTGGGGACCCTGCCAACCCTCCACCCGCTCCCCCCCGGCCCCTCCCTGGCACTCCTGGCGGGGCGAGGGGCAGAGTGGGTGACGCAGGGGGACAGTGAGTCACAGTTTCAGCTGCCGGTACCCAGCATAGCTGCGGGGTCACGGCTGGGCTAATAATAACCACCCTGCGGCAGATGAGGCACCACCGCGGGGGGCCGGGAGAGACCCCACCCTCCCCGGGGCTCCCGCCGGGGATGGAGCACACAAGTCTTTTGGTCAACCTATCCAGTAGCATAATAAGCACTTATTTCAGGTTCTGTCCTCCTTCTCTGTGCTCCAATGGGCACCACGGCGCTATGGCTGTGCTTTCACTCCACTGCTTCAAAGCAGCTCCCTGCACAGCACTGTCTGAGCTTCTGGTTCTGCTCCTTTCAGCCCCTTGGCTCCCCCTGCCACAGGGACAGTCTCAGGCTCAGCGCAGACAGGGCAAGGATTTTAGGAGATGCCTCATGTCCAAAGCTGTGACAGCCAGGGATGAGCTGCTGAGCCTGACCAGCTCACAGTCCAGTGCCCCAGCCCTGGACCAGCCCAGACGCAGCTGATTCACACCTTGGAGCAGCTGCTGGAGGTGCCTTGGGCAAGGCTCAGCAGGAAATTCTTGCTTCGTACAGGGCTGGGTGAACTCTGCTCAATTTTCGCTTCAATTCACTGTTTTGATTGCTGTGAGAACATGATCCAGGGATACAAAGATGGGGTTTGAACTCAAAACCTCCACCTTTCGCAACCAGGGTGGGAGAGGAATAGACACAGCCCGTTTGAGTAGAGCTCAGCACCACACAGACATAGAGCTGCAGCTCCCAAGGAGGTGCCAGTCCTGCAGCATCCCCAGATTTCACAGGCTGGTTGAGGGGTTTCCCCCCTAGAGCCTACAAGCACAAGATAGACATTAGGGAAAGCTCCTGCCCTGAAAAGGCTCTGAAAAACCTTTAATATTTATATTATAATGGCAGGAAGAAAGATGCCCATTTGCTGGTCCAAGACATGCTGGTCCCAGGCAGATGCCAAGGCAGAGCTGCCACAAAGCCCAGCCACATCCCCAATTTCCCAGGAAGAAGGTGAAATGGCAGATGGCACCAGTGCCAAAGGGATGGTTTCAATGTGCAGCTGGGTCCAGTAGCCACAGGGAGGGGAACAGCCAGAAACAAGCTCTTCAAAAGGCATCAGCTCTGAGCCTGGGGATACTGTACTGCAAGGCCACCAGAACTGGGGCAATATCCCACTTGCAAGGTTCTAGGAGTACCAGGAGTGTGCTCCCAGCTGGAGAGCATCACTGCTGGCAGCTGGGCTGGCTGCCACCACTGCGGGAGGAAGGTGACTGTCACCAGCTGGTGGCACCAGCAACCCTGCAGCAGCAGCACAAAGCACAGCAGCTCCTCCCTGCAGAAGCTTCACCGTGCACAAACAGCCCCAAATTGCTGCCATTTCACCTGAGAGAAGGAGAAAAGAGGGACGGGGTCTGCCAGAAGGGTTGGTGAGGAGTGAGGCTGCAGCTCATGGCAAGAGCAGGGGGCTGCAACTTTGTGCAGGGTGGGCAGTGATGGGTCACCTCTGCTGGCACCATGGCCACAGACCACCAGGATCCAGCAGCCAAAGCACCAACAGGCTGGAACCACAACCCTGGGACCAGCACTCTGTGTCCTGCCTCCACTGAGATCCGTGTCCCTCCAGCTGAGCTGAGCTTCCCCTCCTTTGTCCTGGCTGGAATGAGGCTCCATGGATCAGGCTGGTCCCCTAGAGAGGGACACTAAGGATGAGATAAGATACCCCAAGCCCTGAGGCAGCAGGAAGGCAGAGGCAGGAACTGGCTGTGAAAATGAACAGTTTATTGGGACTGAGCAGAGATACAGGGCAGGAGAGAGGCAAGAGGTGCCTCAGGGAGCTGCTGTTCACCAGAGGGAGGCCTCCATTTGCTTTCCAAGTGGTTTAGTTGGGAGCAAGGCACTCCCGTCTCCCCATCCTGTCCCCAAGCATTACCAGAGGAAGGTCCTGCCTTCCCCAGGGGACCTGTCACCTCAGGACTGCTGTCCCAGCTGCTCCTGGCCGTGGCCATCAATCCCACCCAGAAACACAAGTGCAGCTTCTACAAAAATATCCTTCCCTCCCCCCAAAAACGTGAAGAGCAGGCGGGGCTCCCACAGAACTGTTATTGCTCAGTGTGCCGGGTGGTCAGACACAAGAACTTAAGGCATCAGGAATAAGTGCACTAGGTGGGCCCCCGAGGTGTGCACGGCACAGCCAGGCCCCCACGGCTCACTGTCCCAAGCAGTCCTCAGTGACCCCCTGGGCAGCCAGCTCTGCCAGCACATTGTCCAGGTAGTTGGGGTCAGGGTAGCCATGGCCACTCAGGTTTGAGTCCATCTCAGTCTTGTGGTGGATCTCATTCCACACCACCGTGTTGCTCTCGCCGGTGGTGTTGGAGGTGCCCACTGTGAAAATCAGGCGTCTCTTCCAGGCCACCTTCAGGAGCTCCAGGACCTAGAGGGGGAAAGGAAAACCAAAGGTAGGAGACTTGAGCCATGAAAACAGCCTGCCAGAAGCTTGAGAAGCTCAGTGCCATGAGATAACACGAGAAGGGTGACATTATCGGGGTACAGTGCCTTACCTTTCTGCCCTTCTCGTTGTCTGGTAGGTAACAATAGCGAGGAAAGCCTCTGGCCGTGTATGGCATCCCAGGGTTGGGGTGCTCAGGGCCCTGCAAGGGAGGAGACATATTTGGCATGGACACACCCATCTTCATAGCAGTTGGGCAATTCCTCAGCAGCAGGATTTGACATAGGCTCATCTCAAACCAGCTCTTCCATGTAAAAGGCAGCTGATGAGCACAAGGTGTCTGACTTGTTCTTATGGGACATGTGAGTATTACAGGTCCTCCAAGAGCAGTCTCATGCTGGGATACAAAGCCAGATCTAAAATCTCATTATATTCTGGTGGGAGACAGCCTCAAACCACAGCTTTTTCCACGTGGTCTGATGACACCTTAAAAAGAACCCACACAGCTCAAACCTTTGCAAGCTCACTGCCACCGCTGAAACCAGCGTGGGCTGTGAAGCCACACATCGGGATCTCTCCCACCTTGTGAGCACAAGTAGAATCTCCTCCCTGTTTCAGGCAGACATTAGTCCCTTACTGCAGGTGAAGAGCTGCTGTAAACTCTGGGGCTGCTCAGAAAAAGATCTTTGATGGAGGAGACCCACACACACTGAAGAACAGCTGGTGCAGCTGCTGGCTCCAGGCACTGTAGGCTGCTCAGTGATGGGCTGCCAGCAGGCACTGTACTGGGTCCCAGAACTTTCCTGGGAGGCTCTCAGAGCTTGTGCTATCCATCAGCGTGCTGTGCACTCACCTGGATGCCTCTGCTGATGTGATACACAATCTGGATTGTCCCACAGTCCTTGTGGCCAGGGAGGGACTGGGGGAAAGTGGAGATCTCCATCTTCCCTTTGGGCTGGGTCCCGGTTTTCTCTCCGTAGATGGTTTTACAGGAGGGACACTGCAAACTGCCATCCTGCCAGGAGAGGGAAGCCAGGATCAGAGCTCCACAGCCCAGTGACCTGGGTACAGGGGACCTGGTGGGGATGGGCCAGCTGGGTACCTTGTTCCCATTGGAGTACATGGCCAGCATGCAGAGCATGTGGAAGGAGTGCTGGCAGCTCGTCAGGCGACCAACAGCCTCTGGCCTGATGGTGCTGGACTCACACGTGTCACTGTAGCCGGAGGGGGAGGAAAGCTTCTCCATGCAGATGATGCAGTCCTGGAGGAGAAACCACGACCTATGAGCACAGGCTGATCCCAAGGACTGACCCACCAAGGAAGCCATCAAGGACATGCTTCAGGAAGATCTGCCTTCTGGTTTAATCCCTCCCTTTGACATTTACGGGCACAGAGACAGGTTTCCTTATCTGGATGGTATCACCCCACTCCACTTCCTGCATTGCCCAGGAGGTGGAGAGCTGCCATCAGTCACAGCAGATGAGAGGGAACTGGGTA